CCTGCATCCATACGGATACATCAAGGTTAGGCGTCGGTGGCAAAAACAACAAGACGGACAAGTTAAACCAGTTATTAAACTTATTGCGCGAGGAGCTATTTGGCAGATAAAACCGGTTATTCTTAGGTCTGACCACAGGAAACGTTAACTAAAGGTTAGTCCGCATTTATCTGATAGATATCACTGTACGGAAGTAAAAATACACTCGTTTTTCTTATCTCTTGGATATTCTCTAATCTGTAGGATAAATATCTCTATCTGCAAGTGAAAGTACCGCGCCTAAAGCAGGCTACAAAAGAAGAACAACGCTATCATTGATACGAGCTAGAAACGATGGTTGTTTTTACGCTAAAGGCATTTACAGTTTACCTAAGGCGGGTGACACACTGGAGAAATAAGTTTAATAAGACCTATAAAGTGAAGCAAGTTTCATGAAACTTTGTTTCATGGCAGCGCACACTCAATTTATTGGTTTCACAAGCAACCACCAAGCAACGTCCTCGGATTAAGGCGTATTTTGGTTTGGTTGGTAAACCGCCGGTTGGTCACCCGCCTGATAGGTATACATTTTAAGTTAGGCGGGTAACACACTGGAGACATAAGGGTTTCACGATGCTCATAAACAGAAGCAAGTTTCATGGAACTTTGTTTCATGTCAACGCACACTCAAGTTATTAGTTTCACAAGCGATCTCCTCGAATTAGGACGTATTTTGTTATGGTGGGTAAACCGCCGAACAAAACGACAAGCAAAGAGGAAAAGGCGATTTTGGGTATATCCACTTTTTTCCATGCCGCACCAACAACCTTACGACGACTGTATTTCGGAATTTGGAAATTATAAAGACATGGATATTCTTTCACACAAATTCAATACACAAATATCTGTTGAGATGTATACACTTTTGGGTATCAAAATGGAATAAATTTCTGAAACAAATAAACGCATGTTCTGTTTTACGAAATCTTTGGGCGAAACGATTTCTGCTGTCCTGTGTCAGAAATGCCAGTGTGCGCCTCCTCATTTGAATGTAAGTGTTGTGTGATAATGAAACAAATTTCCCGTTTCTTGCAACATGAAACTTATTTCTCCAGTGTTTCACCCGCCTTAGTTACCGACTGCAATGCCATTAGAACGAAATTGGAGATTTAGTTCCAAGAATTGGCAAATGGCGGATGAGTATCCCTAAATGCACATTTGAATTAGAATATCGTCCTTGATTTGGACGAGAGAGAATGCAGCACGCAGACGTACTGAGCCAAAATCTAGTAGAAGAAATACTCAAAAGAGATCCAGCTGACATCGAAAAGAAGAGCATGCATAAAGACTTTTGTCTAGTTAACGAGCGACTCTGCAAGAATCTTCCTGATGCGAACAGATGGGTTATTTCTAAGTGTGGCGGAAAATATGAAAATTGTTTATTGGACTGTATGATTTAAAAAAAATGGAAATAAAAGTTTAAACCCGGTACGCACAGATCACTTACCTTTGAAAAGGTTTCTGTTGGTTCTCTGGGTACTGGTCCAAACTGAAGCGTGTTGACTGTAGCAGAGTACTCTGTAGCTTCTTAGGGCAGTAAAATAGGGGCAGTTTCGTTGTAGTGACCGAACCGTCCGATACGACACGAATTTGTACGGGTCGCGTAGCGAGAGTGTGTTGTCTACTCTGCGGCCGAGAATATATTATGTATTTTTAAAATCTCGGACAAGGCAGCGTAAAATGCAGCTGCTTCCAGCAAGTGACGTGTGCGCATATGATAAATGAAAATAATCGCTAATGAAAAATATAGGCACAATCGAACTTTTTAGATTGCTTTACACAAACTAAAATAGGCAAAAAGCCCTTTTGAGAGTTTTCTAAACATTATAAGGCAGCACGAAGACAAGTAGTGATGCACTTCCATGATGGTAGTGGACATCTGTCATTCGACAAAATGATTTAAGCTCTGGCCTAAATATACTGGTTCTCAGGAATGCGAAAGTATATCAAGAACTATATCACCAGTTGCTTACCGTGCTTATACAATAATAACCGAAAGTGGGTTACATGCATCCAATATAAAAGGTACTCAAGCCTTTTGATACTTCATATACTTTCGTGACTTCAAAAAAAGAAAAACTCTTATTTAATCGTCATACGAAGTATGTGTTTATGAAAGCGGTACCATGTACTAAGACAACATCCCTGATAAAATTTTGTGAACGATGTGATAGAAAGCTTTGGTGTGCCGAGACGAATAATAACAGACAAAGAAAGTTGCTACACGGCCAAACAATTCAAAGAAGATTATGTCACATGCAATTTAAATATAAAACACGTACTCAATGCTACAGCAACGCCGAGAGCGAACGGTCAGGTAGAACGCTACAACCGTACGATATTGAGCCAGCTCACTGCTAGCACTGATGAGGAAGAAAAGTGGGACATCGATTTCCAAAATCAGATGGGGTCTGAATTCAACGAAGAATTCTTCTACAGGAAAATCCCCTTAGAATTACTATTTGGGCAGTTAATGTCAGGGATTTACAACAACTCAGAGAAAAAGCTAAAGTGAATATCGACAAAAACCAGGCCGGGTCGAACATTTAAAGGTGACCAAGTTCTATACAAATACAAATTGCAAGTAATCATGGTCAAAGCAAAAAGTTATTGCCAAAGTATAGCGGTTGTTACCAGTCTTAGACTATGACTATTACGTAATAAAGGATTTGATGGGATCTACGAGATCTCAAAAGAAATATGAAGGTGTGGTCTCACTCGACAAGTTGAAGCCTTATAACGTAAATGTAAACTCAGAATCAGAATCCGACGAGGAAATCTGAAGGACGAGGTATGAGATCAGATCCGACGTGGAGGCTGATCCATACATAGTAGAGTACAACGTGGGCTCTGGAATCATTCAGATCTGAACTCAGAACCCAACGTGGGTCTGAGACGATAAAAGATTGGAATTCAAAGTGGAATCCGATGTTGGAGTGAATGGGAACCCAAGGTTCTATTAGTAAGACGGTGGAGATTTGGAAATTACTATAAGTTGTCAATTTCAAATTTCTACTTTTTTTTATTATAATCTAGCCTAAAGATTGAGCAATTAGGGACACTAACACAAGAGTCAGTTGTTAGATGTACGAAAGTACAGGGTGACTCAGAGTAAATTTCTTTTTTCGAACACGCCCTGTACATCCAATTTAATATTTGTGGGAAGGTAAGCGCTGGCAATGTGCGGCGACTGCGTGCGGATTATCAATAAACATGAAGCAGTGGTCGAACGAGCAACGCGCGTTTATGGTTGAGGCGTTTTTTAAATCGAATAATTCTCATGTCTCGGCATGGGGACGTTTTCGTGACCATATCCGGTGTATACGTGACACTACGTCAAAAAATGTATTGAAATCGTGGGTTCAAAGATTCAAAGTGGTAGAGTGGCAATTGGCAAATCAGAAGCGTCCCGCCATGTTTTCGAATTGAGCGCCTCGGATTTTCAGTCGCAGCACTTCACACAATCCCAATGTTCTCTGGCGTTCTGATAGACTTCTGTTGGCCGGGACGCTTCGGATTTGCCATTGGACCACTTTGTCTGAATCTTTGGACCCATAGTTTCAATAAATTTTTTGACGGAGTATCACGTATACGCCGAATATTGTAACGGTTACAAAAACATAGGAATCGTTTGATTTAAAAAACCATAAATTGCCAGCGCTAACCCCTCCACAAATATTAAGTTAGATATACAGGACGCGTTCGAAAAGGGAAATCTGCTCTAAGTCACCCTGTACTAAGGATTGTTTTTCCACAGGTACGAAAAAGCTTCCACGAGGACATGGATAGATGTAGCATGGCCGACTGTGAAGATATCCATCCAAACCACCACAATCATGATGGGTGCACTATTTGGAAGTCTGATGCAATGGCCCTTAAAAATAAGCCGGGGTAGTCTTGGCGAGAGAGTCATTGAAATGACAAAACCTATTACAGTCAGAATCTGATTTTAAATTGACTAGTAGCTCTTAAATAGTATTTCTCTTCATTTTGTTTATTTGACTCTGATTCATAGTTCCGAAACAATGATCAGACTTTTGTCTTGATGCTTCTTATTTGTATTCAATTTGAAATAAATTACAATAAAACCCTGAACCAAATCAAAATTTACAGTACTAAAGTTTGAAATTAGCTCAATGGCACGTGAACGCAATCATTAACCCGAAAAAATCTGCCCTCAAAAAAAAAAAAAAAAACTCTAATTGAGCATTTAAATTGATTGTGTCCCAACCTCATTTTCCAATAAATGTTCAACCCCGTGTGAAAAAAATATTGCGATTCAGATTTGTTTGCAGGAAAATTGTATTTTATTTGGCACCGTTGCAGTAATTACGTCCCCATAAATTTCAACATAAAAATAAGTCCGGAAAAACTGATGTCCCTTATCTTAAAACAAACCGAAGTCGTCCAGAAGCGCTTTTCCACGTTACATATCACGGACCCGGGGAGTTTTAAAGTTCCCCCTAAACTCGAAACTGGCTTATCGTTCGCCATTATACTTTAAAATGTCCGCTCCTTGGAGAGTTTTCAAGGTTTCCTGAAGTTTGAAATTTGAATATCGAATACTTTATTGAGAGTCGAATGCGCTGAAACAAAAAGGTTTCAATATTTTACATCACTGAAATTTAATCATTTCTAGTTGAAGCAGAATTTAGTTGCGGGATTATTACTTTACAGGTACTTTCGTACCTGCAAATTATATGGCAAGAAAGAAAACTTATCTCTTTATTTTCGCATCGCAACAAAACTGGGAATTTTGAGAGTTTTGAAATGGTAAACTCCGTGACTCATCTTTACCAAGTAAACTTTCAATATTTCACTAAAATCAAATTGAGTCTATTTTAAGAAAGGTATGTGGTAACATTACCTATCTACTCCAATAAAACATTCATAATTTTTTTTGCCAACCACAATGCTATAATAAGCCAATTTTACATATTGTGGTCCTTTTATGCAAACCAGTTGCCTATAAAAAAACCTGCAAACTTTCAATCCACATCAGTTCCACATTTTGATTTTAAAATGTATATTCCAGCTGTAGTTTTACTGATTGGAGTTTCCCTGGCCCATGGGGTGTCTTTTCAAACCCTCGTAGAAGAACAATGGCACAACTTCAAGGTAAAAAAAAACAATTTTAAAAACTAATATTCACTTGTATTTATTTAGTTGGAACATGGCAAATTCTATCAAACAGAAGACGAAGAAGACTACAGACGCCAGGTTTTCATGGACAACCTACACAAAATCAACGAGCACAACAAAAATTACGAATTAGGCATTACTACTTATAAAATGGCCATGAATCATATGGGAGATCTTACCAGCGATGAATTTTTAAGATACTACACTTCTGAAATGCCTCAATTGGACGAATATATGGAAAATTTAAACAACAGCGAGACTATAACTTACGGGGATGACGATTTTATTATTTACGAGCCACAAGTTGAAGTAAATGTAGAAGATTTGCCACGGGATGTTGATTGGAGCAAACATGGAGCTGTAACTGGTGTCAAAAATCAAGGACAATGTGGATCTTGTTGGAGTTTTAGTGCTGTAAGATTTTTAATCTAATAATAATGATTTATTATGTACTATTTTTTTTTTAGACTGGTGCTCTTGAAGCAGCTTGGTACAGAAAACACGGTCACTTGATCTCCCTTAGCGAACAAAACTTAGTAGATTGTTCCTGGAAGTACGGAAACCACGGTTGTAAAGGAGGCTGGATGCATTGGGCTTACAACTACATCAAAGCCAATGGAGGAATTGACACTGAACAAGCCTACCCTTACCACGCACACAACCAAGCTTGCCACTACAATCCGAGAAGTAGAGGAGCTACCGTAGCTGCGGTAGTTCAATTCAAAGGCGAAGGTGCTTTACAACAAAAAGTAGCCTCTGTAGGACCGATTGCCATCGCAGCAGAAGTTGGACACAATTTCCACTTTTATCATTCCGGAGTTTATTACGAGCCTCATTGTGGACACAGTTTGAACCATGCCATGTTGGTAGTGGGTTATGGTAATAACTATTGGCTGGTGAAGAATTCCTGGGGCACCGGATGGGGCGATCGCGGTTATATTAGGATGGCGAGAAACAGGAATAATAATTGTGGTATTGCTGATGCTCCCACGTATCCTATTGTGTAATTTGTTGTTTAAGTGAATGTAATAAATTGAAGTTTTGATAGACAAAAACAAATTGATGTTTTAATTCAATATTTAGCACACCAAAGGCCTTTATAGTTCCCACTAGCGGCTCTTGAATTGAATTTTAATTATCACCTGCTTTTGATTATTTGATTATTGCCAACAAAATAACTCCTGCAAATCATAAGCCGGTGATAAATAGAATAAATTTGAATTTCAAGTGCCAGGCTTTAGAACAATAATTTTATCCAGTGAATAAAGAGGAAGTAATCATCGAAGGGTAAACTATTGATGACACAAGTGTTTACCCAGCAATTCAAGAACCTGTGATAATCAAAATCCGTTTACAGTTTGATTCTCAGCCAAGACTGATTTTTTTTGCCATGATTTGATATCATTTTCGTAGATCGGTAAATGATCTCATGTTACTGAGCTATGGGAAATTAAGAAATTCAGATTCAAAGAATTGTTGGGCAGCTGATGGACGAGATAGAAGTGTCTAGTAATGGAAAAATTCCGACGTTCTCCTGGCAAAAATGGTCAAGGAGAGATTTCACTGCTTCGGCTACGCGGACGATATAGTTCTAGTAGTCAGAGGCATCTAGAATATATCTCAGAAAGAACTCAACAAGCATAGTAGATAACTGCTGCATGAAGGAAGACTTGTCAGTGAATCTGCAAAAAAACATAATTATTGTCCTATTCGCAAAGAAAAGAGCACTAAGAGGGCTTCGATGTCCTAAGCTTAACGGAGCGGAAATCCCCTTTTCAAAATAGGTCAAATGTCTAGGAGTCATTTTTGATCAAAAGTTGACTTGGGGTCCACACCTCAACAAAGTTGTCCAAGCTAAAATTTTCTTGGAAAGATGCAGGAGGCTTTGTGGAAAAAGCTGGGGACTTCACTTAAAGATGAATCTATGGTGATAAGACCGAGCATCTTGATTGCTTTTGCAATAGACGCTGTTCCTCCAGTTAGAGCTCCTAGAGCCGACAGACCCTCGCATATTGGTATTAAAGGTAAAATACCTCCTGTTTTTGGAATTTTAATAATTCTAGGAGGTTTATTTGTATTTTTAGCTGCTTCAAAAACTATATTGACAGCTCCATTTGAATCATGAGGTTCCACAGTTCGGTTGCCTGGGGTACAAAGATCATACAGATTGTAACAATTAGACAGCTTCAAAGTGTGGAAAGGCTAGGCTGCGTATGCATCATGGCCCAAAAATAACTCCAACCGCAGCTCTAAAGGTGCTGTTAAACCTGCCGCAACTACATATTATTTACATACAGGGAAGTAAAGGCGGTACTTTACAGACTGAAACAAGACTAGACTCCAATTAATAAAACATCAAAGGCCCAGGAGCTGGAAAATAGAGGAGGATCTAGAGGTCAGCTCCCTGTTCGAGATGCCCTCAGATAAAACAACGCCTATTTTCATCATCAGCAGGCACTTCAAGGTTGCCCAACCGGATAGGGAAGATTGGAAGGTCCTCCAATTAAAGCAAACCACATCTGGTACACCTATGACTACAAGACTAACAAAGGGGTCGGAGCTGATATCTATGGAGACAAGTCTAGAGAACGCACTTTAATGACAGATAGGAGACACCATAGTCCATCCTGACAAAGTTGCAGTGGTAGAGGACGTCTCTGCGTCATCTCAATTCAAAACAAATTACTAGTGTTATTCCTCTTATAATATCCTATTTTTCAGTTTTTGTTTCACACTTTGTGCTTGAAAGCTTGTACTAAGTATTCAAAATTGAACTGAATTCCATGCGAATCCTAAAAAGGAATTTTTAATTTGCCTAGAACGGCCAATAACAGCACCAACTTCAAAAGTCCTTCACGGGAGTGATAAATGAAAATTTGTTGAAAGTTTTATTAAAATATTTGCCTGCCATGGACAAAAAGAGCAGCTACAGAAGCAATTTTTACTTTTAAATTGCCTCATTACAAGAGAACAGATGCAAAAATTGCATTTTCATTTTAAGACGATGCCATTTACGTTGAGCGAAAAAGTTTCGCGATTATTTGGGTGCATTTTATTTCAAGAGAGAATGGTCATTAAAATGGAGTTTTCTCTTCTTTTTTTTTTTTTTTTGTTTCGATAAAACGTTAAATTGCAATAAGAATAAAAAATATTCAGAGATTTCTATTAGCAGATTTATTTAGAGAAGGAAGGGCCTTAAGTAAGTTGATGGTTGTTAGATTTATTTGTATCTTTATCTATCAGCATGTAGAATATATTGATAAACCAAACAGATTAAGAGAAAACATGACAAAATGACACTAAATTGCCTTGCATTAAAGAACAAAAACAATAATTTGCTTCTGAATTACAAATTAAAAATAAATCATTCGCCAAAGAGTCCTATATCAGTCTTATCCTATAAGAAAAAATTGTCTCTCTCAACGTCAAAGATGAAAGTTCCGGTCTTCCCTAACACAATAAACGTAATGCTTCCAAAAAGTTAAAAGCTTCGGACGCTTCCACGCGCGCTTTTGTATTTATTCAGTCTCCCCTTTTCCATTTTCTATTTTTTTTTTTTACTCTTTTACTTTTTGAGTCCGAATGAAAACTGTTATTGTTTTCTTGGAGGAGGACGACTCTACCTTGGAGTGAATTTCCGACAACGTCTCAATCGGGAGGATGAGAATAAAATTGATTGTAGTAGTGTTGTCGGAGTTTCGAGATTATATACGTTACTTCTAAGGAAGAAAATAGAACAAACGTAACAAAAGATAAAAGAGAATAATTTAACTTTTACACTTCCGAATCTTGACAAATCCCTAGAAGATCTAGTGTATTAAGCGCCTCTATAATAATCAAAATTTGGACTATTAATCAGTGGCGGTTCGTGACTATTTCAAGTGAGGAGGCTAGAAAATAATGAATTACGGTAAGGTAACCACTGCGCAGCAGGCAAAATTTGTTTTGTTTTCGGGTGTCCATGCCCTCAATTATCCGGTACATCGGAGAGAACTGAGACTCAGAATATCGACTAAAAATCACATTTTGAATATTCTATTCCCGATTTTAGATTGGCTTCAAATTATCCGCTGACCAATAGAATTATAGACTGGGCCCCGTGATTAAAATAATTCCGGCCCTTCGGGCTCGCGTATAACTCTGGCCCTTCGAGCACGCATATAATTCCAGCCCTTCGGGCTCGCATATAGCTCCTGGCCCTTTTTTTTTCAGTTTGGGGATTCAAATTTTGATTATTCCCGGCTCTTGATTGGCTTTAAATTTTGAATATTCCCGGCTTTGATTGGGTTTAAAATAACCTATAAATCGAGATTGGATGAAAACATATGACAACGTTGCTCATGATACAACAAACGTCAAAAAATTGAAATTTCAAAGTAGGCCTTGGTTTTTTTGACAGTCGATATAAAACGGCGTCTTTTTGTTTCAAAGATTACGGTCCGAAGGGCCGAAGTATTAAAATCAGTTGATAATGAACGGGTTCGTATAACTCCGGCCCTTCGGGCTCGTATAACCTCTGACCTTCGGGCTCATGATTAAAATAACTCCGGCCTGTCGGGCTCGTATAACTCCGGCCCTTCGGGTTCGCATGACTCCGGCCCTTCGGACTCGTATTACCTCGGCCCTTTGAGCTCATAATTGAGATAACCTCAGCCTTCCAGAATTGAGATTTGGAAAAAAAACATATGGCTGCTTATAATAAAACAAACGTTAAAAAATTGGCCGGTCTCTGTTTGGCTACTTCCTACGTATTCGCCGAGATCTGTATGTCCATGTGGGTTTTTTTCTAATTTTGACAACTATCAATGTCAAAATTTTTTACCTTAGGCGATTTCGGCAAGCTTTGGTACATGGTTTGGTACCCTGTTTGATCTGTCAAATGCATACCAACCAATTTCGGATACGAAAATGATGTCACCGTGACTTTGGTATCCTTTTTGGTCTGTCAAATAGGATACCGTGGTCAGCAGCTCGGTTCTTCTCATTTGGTATAGTGCTATCTACGTCTATTTTCGTTTTGTCCTGCTCTGGGACATGTAAATAAATGAAAGTTCATTAGAATTTGAATAATTTGAAATTTTTAACAAATATATTTGTTTTTCGCCCTCATTTTCCTGTTTTCTCGTATGTTTTGACTGCCAAATAATGTTTAACGATCATTTGAAAAATGGCTTTGAACGACAGATATGGGGTAACTTTTTTGCTGAATGGATTATGGAATAAGCTTTACATTTACAGAAAACGCTGAGTTAGCCAATAGGTTACTCAAAGGTACCGGTCTAGACAGTGCTGATTAGTGATTATAGATTTTAGTCAGTGCAGTCAGTACCTAGTCACTCCCAAAACTGGAAGAACAACAAAAAGTTAGGTTAAGGCTCGCCTCTTCCCCTCTCTCATGACCTACCAAACGAATTCGGAATAAAATGGTGTATTACGTCATTTGTATGACGTTGCAGGTACCAATTGGTTAACCAAATGGTATACCAACCAAAGCTTGCCGAAATGGCCTCTTTTTTTTCCAAAAAACAAATGTCAGAAGACGATCCCCAGGCTCCGAAAACACTAAAATAAAAAGTTTCATCGATATAGGTCAAAAACCAACGGCCTGGCAACGCCGAACGTTTTGTTTGACATATGTTGGAAAAAAATTGGTACTTCCTACGTATTCGCCGAGGCTATATCTATATGCCCATATGGGTTTTTTTTAAATTTCGACAGCTGTCAATCTCAAAAAAAAAAATCTTTTGTTTTTTCCAAAAAACAAAAGTTAAAAAACAAGTCGTTTTTTAGTGGGTTTTAGGGTGAGATTTATGTAGCAACATGTAGCAACACTTATATGAAAATTTAATGAAGTCATTTGTAGCAACAGTTGGTACAAAAAATTCAATTTCCCTTCGGGTTTGGAATTCGAATTTTTAAATTTTCCCGGCTCCTGATTGGTTTGGGGATTCGAATTTTGATTATTCCCGGCTCTTGATTGGCTTTAAATTTTGAATATTACCGGCTCTTGATTGGGTTTAAAATAACCTATAATCTCGACGCTTCGAGCTCGAGATTTCAAAAAACATAATATGGCAACACTGCTCATGATACAACAAACGTCAAAAAATTGAAATTTCAAAGTAGACTTTGGTTTTTTTGACAATCGATACAAAATGAGGCCCGAAGGGTCGGAGTCTTAGAGCAGGTAAAGTGCTGTCCTACGGACATAAGGAGTAGGAACGCGCCATTCTGCTTATGAAACTAAAGTGAAGCAGGTTTTTGGCACCAAATACCAGGTAAAGTATTAAATTGCCTATACCGCCATTTTTTTGGTGCCAAAATACCTGAAAAAAAAACGGCTTCATTTTCCAACTCCATGTTACTACTCCTCTTTACCTTTACCTGCTCTAAGGCCGGAGTATTAAAATCAGTTGACAATGAACGGATAAAACTTTTGTCGATATCGACAGATGTCACCTGTCAAATTTGACACATGTTCGACTTTTTCCCCGCTCTACTATAAAAGCTACGAAAATCAAACCCCGGTACAAGGCAGTTTCGCGACGCTAACTATCGATTTGTGTCAAAAAAATTTGATAGCTGTCAACGTCAAAAAAAGTATTTTTTTTTTTTTATTTTGCGAATTTCAAAAAAAAAAAAAAGTGGTGGAAAGCCATATTGGAAAACGATCCCCGGACCCCAAACACCCTAAATAAAAATTCCAAAAAAAAAACCAACGAAAATGACATTCCAAAACCTACTTGATGAAACTAAAGTTTTTCTCACTTACCCCGTTGAAAAACTGGAAATTTTTTGTGGAAAATGAAGAAAACTCAAAGCCTCGTACTTTAAATCAGTTTTCTCGACTGAAAAAGCCCCGGAAAAGTGAAAAATTCGAAGAAAAACTGGATAAAAATGTAAACACGTCAATTGAAAATGGCCGACTGTCAAAAATGCTTCCTTGATGGAAGTTAGCCACAAGCGATGTCGCATTTTAAATACTTCAAATGGCTTCAAATTATCCGCTGACCAATAGAATTATAGACTGAGCCTCGTGATTAAAATAACTCTGGCCCTTCGGGCTCGCGTATAACTCCGGCCCTTCGGGCTCGCGTATAACTCTGGTCCGGCCCTTCGGGCTCGTATTACTCCAACCCTTTAAGCTCGCATGTAATTCCGGCCCTTCGGGCTCGTATTACTGAGTATCCCAGATTCAAAAATTTTTGTCGTGGAGGCGCGGGATTGATTGAAATAATGTTGTCAGATTTTTCTAAATTACATTGAAATATCGAAATTTGTAAATTATTTTTTCAATTAGGAATCTGGAATATAAAACTGAGATTGAATTTTCAATTTTTTAAGGGGAGCTCAGCCTCCCCTGCCTCCTCTGACGAGCCGCCACTGCTATTAATGACTCTTGGTAACCACGTTAAATCAAACCTTTGCCATTAACCAGATAATACATAAAAAAACTACAAACTAAAAATGGGAATAAATTCATACACGATTCTGAAATTCTCGGTCAAATATTTGTTCAAGATAAAGTTGTCGTTAAAACATTGAAAAGTTTCAGTTCTCGAACGCTTCTCTCTCTCTGGAGACTCTTGGGCTAAGCTCTTGAGTCTATAAAGTATCAATTTACCGAAAAACCATGTCAAAATATTATAACATAGAAAATCACTTACGGGTCGTAAATCGAGTGATTGCCTTTGCCATCCCGAAGGGCCCTAAACTCCGGTTGCCTCAAAAGCCCCTCTTGACCCAATGTCGGAGTTATTGAAGGTTTTCTAATTTCCCACGAGGGCGCTAAGGAACCCTTATATTTTACGAATATTCATACCGCAAAAAAAGGGGAATGTGTGGCGGGATTATAAGCAGCTTGCTGATGGGTTGAATATCATCCTTTAACTTATTATATATTTCCTGGTGATATAACTCAACCTAAATCGGTTTTCAATAAAATAAATCACCAGGACGAACGGTTCAAATTACTCTCCGGCCAGGTCTAGATACATATCAAATAACCCATGTCGGTGTTTCCTCCTTGGAAATGCACTCGGCCTTAACAGCAAAAAAAAAAGTCTTCTACAACGGTTCTATGGTATATTTCTTATCTAACATTGTTATATGAGCCGCGCGTTCTTAGTACCTACATATACTCTGCTCCGTGATGCGAGAAAAATTATGCGGTGAAAGTGATTTCGGACGTTTCATAAATTAGATTTAATTAAGGAGAAGTATGCGAATTTTTGTACCGAAAATTTATGCTAATATAATGTTCAATTCATACAAAATGAATTTTGATATTTAGAAAGATTTTGCTTGAGGAGTGAACTGTTGAGGATGTCTGGTGTAGCTTAGGGATGTCCAGAAGATGTCCAGGGATATCCCAGGATTTCCGGGAATAAGCCAGGACTTCGGGGGATGTCCCAGACTTTCAGTGGTGGTACGGGAATTTCCAGTATGTTCAGGGGATGTCCTGAGATGTCCAAGGGATGTCCGAGGGTGTCCCAAGGGATGTGGGGAAATCTAATGAAAAAGTCGTGGTATTTCCTAAGGTTATTGAGGTACTTTCTGTGTTCTTGTATTAAAGTAACATCAGCTGCAAGGTAGGTAAACCCTTCTTTCTCCATCAGCTTATGTACCTATATATTTAGTTTTTGGAAGGGAACTCAGGTTACCTTGCGATCTGATGTTCGAGAACCTGAAGAAGAACGGAAAGGCCAGTGACCGAATGGAGACCAGATATGACTTGAAAGCCAATTCAGCCGGACTTCAAGAAGGTGATTTAGTGCAAGCAGCACTACGGAATAATCGAGAGGATTAATGATTTGGTTTATCGAGTTCAGCGCAACACCAGAAGTAAGATGAAAGTTGTACATCTGGATAGATTGACGCAATATCATGGACGTGAAATTAATTGGAACGATCAACCTTGAGAGGAGGGCAGTGTCACGGTGGCGCCTTCACCAAACAGTACAGAATTTAACTTTAAATCTAGAAAATACTGCTTCATTCGAGGAAAGAGATTATCGCGTTTATTCTGGATTTTAAAAGAATGGATTACGGATGTAAAAAGGTTGGTATTAGCTAGTAGTTTTTTGTTTTAAGATTGAATGATACGATTTAGATAGTGAATTTTGTAACTGTAAGAGTTGTAAAGAGTTAAGTTTTCTTTGAGTTAATTATTGAAGTGATTAGTTAGTCTCAGAGTGTATAGTAACGTGGAATAAATTATTGTTATGTTAATTGGACTTTGATTTTGGAATATACGGACCCAAGATTTCTGTCACGCAAGTCAGAGCCGCGACAGATCTTAGTCAATTTTTCTCTATCTCGTCTGGAAGTTTGTTTTTCCTGTTAAACCACTCCAAATTGCAGCACCCGCCACCCTGTACAGAAAGAAGGGATGTCGAGGGATTTCCGAGAATGTCTAGAAATGGCCGAAGATAGGTATCCAGGGATGTCTGAAGATGTCCGAGGGTGTCCTGGGATGTCTTGAGGTTGTCCGAGATGTACTTCAAACTCTGGTGTGCAGATTTTGCTCAGCGGTTTACCTTTCTATTTTGCTCTATAGTATCCTTACCACTCTTCAAAGTAACTCTAGGCCCGAAACTAAATCTGGATCTTATTATAACCTTATCTCTTGTTTGATAGCAGAACACTTTTTCATACAAGTTTGAATTATTGTTGTTGGAATTGAGAGCTAATTGATCTATGTAAAATTCTCCAATTAGATATTTTTCTTCCGAATCCAAGATCAGGAACTGGTCAAACAACCAGTTCCAGAGGAATGGCTGGATCAAAAAGATCTCAGACAATCAAGGATCTTCATACTTTTTGAAATTGCTCTACAGTCGAGCATTGAAGTGAAATTGAGTTTTAGATGAAAAATACGGAAAACTAAGCCATTTGCATTTTTCTCAAAAACCTCAATCATCCCAAGTTGAAGAGGTTTTCACATGTTTTTGAACCATTTACCATTTAGTTTGATCCCCTCCTTTGATTAAAGGACCGATGAAAATTTTGTTAAACCAACGCCGAAATCAATATTCTGAGGATTCAAATTGACATTGGCCTTTGTGGTAGAAATTTATTTATATGAACAATAAGTAAATCAACCAGAATTTATTCAAATTTACTATGAATAATGACAATTTTTTTTTTTGCATTTAAATTCCAAATTCCCAAAGGAAATAATATGGCTTTCCTGCCGCTCAGCTGCCTATTAATAACTTTTTGTGGCATAATTATTTTACATAATTGATAAATTTATTGTATTTTAATATTGTAAAAGTATCAAATAGGTTTAGTATAGTATTAATGTTTTGGTTGTGGTGCTTGACATTTTTCACCGGTTAGCACACTTGATAACTCTTTCCCAAAAATAATTATTTATATTTTTTATTTTTTTAATAGGAAACATGAATTTGGTCCTACTGTTAACAGGCCTTATATTGGGCAATTCTACAACCAATATTAATGATTTTAACAATAATCAAATAGAAGAAAACTTGTCTTTACAACGAACATGGAGTGAGTACAAGGTAGGCAATTTAATTAAAAAATCAAGTTGTTAATTAAATAAAATTTCAGGTCGAATTTGGTAAACAATATGAGAGTAACGAAGAAGAATTTTTGAGAATGGAAATCTTTGAAAGAAATTCTAAAATGATCGATAAACATAATGAACTTTTTAGGAAAGGTACTTTCAGCTACCAGTTGGGTCACAATCAATTTTCTGATATGTCCCATCAGGAATATCTAGGTAAGTTGTCTGTTTTAGGTTGAACATTTTACAAAAACAATTATCCACAGAAAAAATCCTCAACATCGAAGATATCACTAATGAACCAACAGTTAAAGCAGAACCGACAGTACAATATAATTGGAAAGGAGACCCAACAGTTAAAGCAGATCCCACAGTACAATATGATAATTGGAAAGCAGATCCAACAGTAAAAGCTGATCCAACAGTTAAAGCCGATCCTACAGTTAAATATGAAGATTTCAATGATGAATACGAGAACCCTGGAGAATTTACCTTTATGCCACCTGAAAACTACGAAGTACCAATAAGCATAGATTGGAGATCACATGGGGCCGTAACTCAAGTCAAAGATGAAGAACATTGCGGTGCTTCTTGGGCATTCAGTGCGGTAAGTACCTAATTTCAAGGAGTCTACTTTTATGAAACGGAAATTCTTTGTAGACTGGTGCCCTTGAAAGTCAACTTTTCCGCAAAACCCACCACCTGATCCCGCTCAGCGAACAAAACCTGATCGATTGCACGGGCCATTACGGCAACCACGGTTGTCGTAACGGTACAGCCATCAACAGCTACAGATACGTCGTCCACAATCGAGGAATCGACACCAACATCACCTATCCGTACCATGGCAAGCAACAATGGTTCTGTCGCTACAAGAAATTCGCCAATAACCCTACAGTACGTGGCATCGCCCATATAGCTGTAGGCAACGAAACTAGCTTGGCTGTTGCTGTAGCTTCAGCAGGTCCCGTTTCAGTAGCAGTGGACGCCAGAAGCCAGAAGTTTAGGTTTTATAAAAACGGAGTTTTTGACGAGCCTCATTGCAGTACTCGTAATCCTAACAGGGAACTGTTGGTTGTGGGTTACGGAAGGTCGTTTTGGGTTGTGAAAAATTCTTGGGGTAAAGGTTGGGGCCTTGGAGGGTATATTTATATGTCGAGGAATAGGGGTAATCAGTGTGGAATCGCAACTAGAGCTGTTTTTCCTTTAGTCTAACCTTTTTGTATTTTGTGAAAATATAAATATGTTTTATATTCAAAAGAATTGTGTTTTACTTGAAGTCTTCTTTTTCTTCAGACTGGAGCGATTGAAAGTCAAGTTTACCGCAGCGAACAAATCTTTGTAGACTGTACAGCCCTTTATGGCAATCACGACTGTTTCACAGGCAGTGCAGCTTGCAACTTTCAATAACTGTAAATCTAGAGACTTGAAGTCGCTGAATTTTTTTTAAATTCTAGGTGTCTCTACTAAATATTTAGAGGCTTTGGGTTCTAAATCGGCAAAGTCCTTAAAGGGTTAAGTATGAAGTTGATGTAAAACTTACACCTGAAGTTACGGTTTTTTTCTCTCATTGATGTTCAAAAATATCATGAAGTTCCTATAAAATCACCTATGAGGATTGCTGAAAAATACTTTGGGCCATCATAGCCACTTGAAACTTTCAGGCTTCATTAATTGGCGTTTGATTCATTTTCGAAAACAATTCTGAAATTGATATGAAAGTGACAACTAAAGTTACGAATTTTTTCTCTTTATTGATGTTCGAAAAGTCATGAAATTTCGCTGTAAAATCATATATGAGGGTTACTGAAAAATACTTTCAGCCATCATAGCAACTTGAAACTTTCAGAATTTATTAATTGGAGGTTTTTTATTATCAAAAACAAGTTTGATGTTGATATGAAGCTCACAACTGAAGTTACGAATTTTTTCTCTCATTGATGTTCAAAAAAATCATAAAATTCCATTAAAAGCATCTATGAGGATTCATGAAAAATAATTTCAGCCATCATAGTGACTTAAAACTTTCAGGACTTAACATTTGAAGTTTTTTCATTATGGAAAACAAGTCTGAAGTTGATATGAAAATCACAACTGAAGTTACGAATTTTTTCTCTCATAGATGTTTAAAAAAATCATAAAATTCCTGTAAAATCATCTATGAGGACTGCTGAAAAATACTTTGGGCCATTATAGCGATTTGAAACTTTCAGGATTTATTAGTTGGAGTTTCTTTATTATAAAAAACAATTTTCAAGTAGTTATGAAACTCACAACTAAAGTTACGATTTTTTTCTCTCATTGATGTTAAAAAAAAATCATAAAATTCCTATAAAATCATCTATGAGGGTTCCTGAAAAATACTTTCAGCCATCATAGCAACTTGAAACTTTTGGGATTTATTATTTGGAGTTTTTTAATTATGGAAAACAAGTCTGAAGTTGATATGAAACTCACAACTAGAGTTACGAATTTTTTCTCTCATTGATGTTTGACAAAATCATAAAATTCCTGTAAAATCATCTATGGGGGTTCCTGAAAAATACTATCAGTCATCATAGCGAGTTAAAACTTTTAGGATTTATTAATTGGAGTTTTTTTATTATCGAAAAAAAGTTTGAAGTTGATATGAAACTCACAACTAAAGTTACGAACTTTTTTTCTCATTGATGTTCAAAAAAATTATAAAATTCCTATAAAATCATCTATGAGGGTTCCTGAAAAATACTTTCAGCCATCATAGCGACTTGAAACTTTCAGGATTTATTAATTGGAGTTTTTGTATTATCGAAAAAAAGTTTGAAGTTGATATGAAACTCACAACTAGAGTTACGAATTTTTTCTTTCATTGATGTTTAACAAAATCATTAAATACCTGTAAAATCATATATGAAGGTTCCTGAGAAATACTTTCAGCCATTATAGCGACTTGAAACTTTCAGGATCTATTAATTGAAATTTTTTTATTATTGAAAAAAAGTTTGAAGTTGATATGAAAATCACACTTAAAGTTATGAACTTTTTTTCTCATTGATGTTCAAAAAAATTATAAAATTCCTATAAAATCATCTATGAGGGTTCCTGAAAAATACTTTCAGCCATCATAGCAACTTGAAACTTTCAGGATTTATGAATTGGAGTTTTTTTATTATCGAAAAAAAGTTTGAAGTTGATGTGAATCTCACAACTAGAGCTACGAATTTTTTCTCTCAATGATGTTCAACAAAATCATTAAATACCTGTAAAATCATCTATGGGGGTTCCTGAAAAATACTATCAGCCATCATAGCGAGTTAAAACTTTTAGGATCTATTAATTGGAGTTTTTTTATTATCGAAAAAAAAAAAGTTTGAAGTTAATATGAAAATCACAACTAAAGTTACGAACTTTTTTTCTCATTGATGTTCAAAAAAATTATAAAATTCCTATAAAATCATCTATTAGGGTTCCTGAAAAATACTTTCAGCCATCATAGCAACTTGAAACTTCCAGGATTTATGAATTGGAGTTTTTTTATTATCGAAAAAAAGTTTGAAGTTGATGTGAAACTCACAACTAAAGTTACGAACTTTTTTTCTCATTGATGTTGAAAAAAATCATAAAATTCCTATAAAATCATTTAGAGGGTTCCTGAAAAATACTTTTAGTTATCCTAGCGACTTAAAACTTCCAGGATTTATTAATTGGAGTTTTTTTGTTATCGAAAACAAGTTTGAAGTAATGTAAAATCATCTATGGGCGTTCCTGAGAAATACTTTCAGTAGACTTTGCTTTCAGCCATCACAGCGACTCGAAATTTTCAGAATTTATTATGTAGAAAGAGTAGCGAATGCCAACAAAACCGTTTTGAAAGCTGTAGCTTCTGTAGGGCTCATAGCAGTGGCTGTAGATGGAGAAGAAGTGAAAAGTTTAAGCATTACGAAATGGCGATTTATGAGTTTATTTGTAGCCAAGATTTTTTGGACAGGGAAATGCTGGCAGTTGGTGACAGAAATGACTATTGAATTGTTAAAAATTCTTGGAGGAACAAAATGTGATTTCAAGGGGTATATTTTTATAACTAAAAATGGAAATAATGAGTGTGGGACTGGTTCACAAGCAACATATCCTGTTGTTATCAGAAAATAAATAATTTGTGTATCAATTCGACAGGTTACCAAACTAAAGTACTACATGAGAAGGCTGAAAGCTCCCAAAATCAAATTCCCTATACTCTCAAATAATAATAAACACACTTGTGACATCACGAAGGTTCCTGGACCCCAAGATAAATTGAACATGAGAAAGACATTAAATGCAAGTTTTCTAGGATCTTGTAAACAATTAAAAACCAATTGAATTTGAGTTTTTCTCAGCTTTTTGTGGAATTATAATCGCCCAACTGGATTTTTTGCAATATCATGTTTATTGTTTAACTTAATAAGAGTCTAAATGGACATAAACTCGAATTGTCATTTCTACCAAAATTACCGCCTAGCAAAATCAAATTTGATGGTCCATTACGGTCCGGGGGCCCTTTATTGCCGTTAATGAACTGTCCGTCTTCATATTATTTGACGGTTCTGTCTAAATTGCTCTTGCCCCCCTGAACTCTGCGGGTTATGGAGGACACAAAAAAAAATTCTTTACCTTGAAAATTTATTTTTACTAGCACACTTCTGAAATACAATAAATGCCCGGCGTGGGGTTTATTACGAAGTATGAGGGCCCAAAACAATTAGGAAAGGAAACAGCTACAATACAATTTGCAATAAAAAGGTAAAAGGGCTTTTAGTTAAGGAACAACATTTTTTTTTTTTTTAAACAATGGGATACAAAGCTTCCGAGGCAATTGCGCATTGATTCTTCTTATTTCTAGTCATCATTATGTAACCTTTTTCACCCCATTCTATGCCCCAAGAGTTTTTCACCAGCCAATAATCCAAGTTCCTCCATTTTCCATATCCCACCACCAACATACCATGTGAGACTTTATCAGTACACTTAGGGTTTTGGTACAATCCTCCAGAGTAAAACTTCATTCCGTTAGCATCTACCATTACTGCTACTGGACCGACTCTGGCTACGGCCGCTTGAAGATCTTTTTCATTTCCACGTTTGATTTTCACATATTTTTCCATTATGGCTCCTATGTTTGTGGTGTTGAAGTTACATTTTCGATTTTTGGCAGCTTTGTACGGATATGAAGCTTCGGTGTCGATGCCTGCATTGTGGATGATGTAGTTGAAGGTGATGTCGACTCTTCCTCCTAAACAACCTCTGTTTTTGTATTCCCTAGTTCTGCAGGTACAGTCCAGGATGTTTTGTTCGCTCAAAGAGATCATTCGTTTGCTGGCTAAGTAGTGTTGGGCTTCTAGAGCACCGGTCTGAAATATGTTTCTGAAAGATTAAGTTGACAATCGATCTTTTTATTGGATGTTTCTCAAACTTTCAAATACAACATCATTTGTTTATTTGGAAGCTTGAAGAAGACCCAAGAGTCAAATATTATTATCAGTGTTGCCAATGTCCCGATAATTATCGAATTCTACCATAATTTTGACTACGATTCAATAATCGATAATGACAAGTTAATCTACCATAATTTATTGAAACTACAATTTTGATATAGATTTTTCAAATTTCTAGTTAAAAATTAAAAATTTATTAAAAAATTGAAGGTGGTTGTTGGTTTTGAGTATTTTGACGTACTGGTGCGAGCACCAAACACTAGTCCCAGATTGAGTCAAAGTTTCATGCCAATAACTTTACTGGTTTCCAAAATATGGCCCTTTGAAATATTTGAAAATCAAATTCCCCTATGCATATTTCTTTGGAAAAATTCGAATTTTTAAATTTTTAGATTTTGCAATGTTTGACTTCACCAATCAAAAGAGGAGATCAAAATTAGTGAAAAAGCATTTTTGCAACTTTGTTTTTAGAGTTTTAAAGCCTTTTTGCAATTTTTGGGCTCAAAAAAGTTCAATAAATTGACATTCTTTCACAAAGTTGCTGATTACTCGATTATTATTGTAACAAATACAATGTAAAACTATATATTCTGAATCAGAATTAAATTATCTTCAAGATAAAATAAGATTCAATTCTATATCTTAAATACTTCTGAAGATATTGAGGCTCAAAGTTGAAACTTTACCTCAAATTTTGCAAAAGCTTCCAGGCGGATTATCTTAAAAACGAAACCCTTGGGCTTGGAGTCTTAAATATCCTTTTTTGTAGCCCTTATTAAGAGCTACAATTGGGCAGAAGATTCATGCCAATAACTTCACTGGTTTCCAAAATACAAGCATTTGAAATAGTTGAAAATCCAATTTCCATGCATACCCCTCTGAAAAAGTTCGAATTTTTAAATTTTTGGATTTTACAATTTTTGACTTTACTAATCAAAAGAGGAGGTGAAAATTAGTGGGGAAGCATTTACGCAACTTTGTTTTTAGGGTTTTAAGGCTTGTAAAAAAATAAAAACGATATTTGCAATTTTTGGGCTCAAAAAATTTCAATAATCTGATATTATTTCACAAAATTGCTGATTACTCGGTTATTATTATAACAAATATGATGTAAAATTATATATTCTGAATCAAAATTAAATAATCTTCAAGATAAAATAAGATTCAAGTCTATATCTTAGATACTTTCGAAGATACTGAGGCTCAAAGTTAAAACTTTGTCTCAAATTTTGCAAAAGCTTCAAAGCCGATTATCTTGAAAACGAAGCCCTTGAGTTCGAAGTCTTGAATAACCTTTTTTGTAGCCCTTATTAAGAACTACAATTGGGCAAAAGATTCATGCCAATAGCTTCATTGGTTTCCAAAATATGGCCCTTTGAATTATTTGAAAATCAAATTTCCATGCATACCCCTTTGGAAAAATTCGAATTTTTAAATTTTATGGATTTTGCAATTTTTGACTTCACAAATCGAAAGGAGAGGCTAAAATTAGTAGAAAAACATTTTCGCAACTTTCCTTTTTGGGTTTTAAAGCCTTGTTAAAAAATAAAAACGATTTTTGCAATTTTTGGGCTCAAAAAATTTTAATAATCTGATATTCTTTCACAAAATTGCTGATTACTCGGTTATTATTATAACAAATATGATGTAAAATTATATATTCTGAATCAGAATTAAATAATCTTCAAGATAAAATAAGATTCAATTCTATATCTTAAATACTCTTGAAAATATTGAGGCTCAAAGTTAAAACTTTGTCTTAAATTTTGCAAAAGGTTCCAGGCGGATTATCTTGAAAACGAAACCCTTGGGCTCGGAGTCTTAAATAACCTTTTTTGTAGCCCTTATTAAGAACTACAATTGGGCAAAAGATTCATGGCAATAGCTTCATTGGTTTCCAAAATATGGCCCTTTGAATTATTTGAAAATCAAATTTCCATGCATAGGTACCCCTTTGGAAAAATTCGAATTTTCAAATTTTATGGATTTTGCAATTTTTGACTTCACAAATCGAAAGGAGAGGCTAAAATTAGTAGAAAAACATTTTCGCAACTTTCCTTTTTGGGTTTTAAAGCCTTGTTAAAAAATAAAAACGATTTTTGCAATTTTTGTGCTCAAAAAATTTTAATAATCTGATATTCTTTCACAAAATTGCTAATTACTCGGTTATTATTATAACAAATATGATGTAAAATTATATATTCTGAATCAGAATTAAATAATCTTCAAGATAAAATAAGATTCAATTCTATATCTTAAATACTCTTGAAAATATTGAGGCTCAAAGTTAAAACTTTGTCTTAAATTTTGCAAAAGCTTCCAAGCGGATTATCTTGAAAACGAAACTCTTGGGCTCGGAGTCTTAAATAACCTTTTTTGTAGCCCTTATTAAGAACTACAATTGGGCAAAAGATTCATGGCAATAGCTTCATTGGTTTCCAAAATATGGCCCTTTGAATTATTTGAAAATCAAATTTCCATGCATACCCCTTTGGAAAAATTCGAATTTTTAAATTTTATGGATTTTGCAATTTTTGACTTCACAAATCGAAAGGAGAGGTTAGAATTAGTAGAAAAACATTTTCGCAACTTTCGTTTTTGGGTTTTAAAGCCTTGTTAAAAAATAAAAACGATTTTTGCAATTTTTGGGCTCAAAAAATTTTAATAATCTGATATTCTTTCACAAAATTGCTGATTACTTGGTTACTATTATAACAAATATGATGTAAAATTATATATTCTGAATCAGAATTAAATAATCTTCAAGATAAAATAAGATTCAATTCTATATCTTAAATACTCTTGAAAATATTGAGGCTCAAAGTTAAAACTTTGTCTTAAATTTTGCAAAAGCTTCCAAGCGGATTATCTTGAAAACGAAACCCTTGGGCTCGGAGTCTTAAATAACCTTTTTTGTAGCCCTTATTAAGAACTACAATTGGGCAAAAGATTCATGCCAATAGCTTCATTGGTTTCCAAAATATGGTCCTTTGAATTATTTGAAAATCAAATTTCCATGCATACCCCTTTGGAAAAATTCGAATTTTTAAATTTTATGGATTTTGCAATTTTTGACTTCACAAATCGAAAGGAGAGGTTAGAATTAGTAGAAAAACATTTTCGCAACTTTCGTTTTTGGGTTTTAAAGCCTTGTTAAAAAATAAAAACGATTTTTGCAATTTTTGGGCTCGCTCAAAAAATTTTAATAATCTGATATTCTTTCACAAAATTGCTGATTACTTGGTTACTATTATAACAAATATGATGTAAAATTATATATTCTGAATCAGAATTAAATAATCTTCAAGATAAAATAAGATTCAATTCTATATCTTAAATACTCTTGAAAATATTGAGGCTCAAAGTTAAAACTTTGTCTTAAATTTTGCAAAAGCTTCCAAGCGGATTATCTTGAAAACGAAACCCTTGGGCTCGGAGTCTTAAATAACCTTTTTTGTAGCCCTTATTAAGAACTACAATTGGGCAAAAGATTCATGGCAATAGCTTCATTGGTTTCCAAAATATGGCCCTTTGAATTATTTGAAAATCAAATTTCCATGCATACCCCTTTGGAAAAATTCGAATTTTTAAATTTTATGGATTTTGCAATTTTTGACTTCACAAATCGAAAGGAGAGGTTAGAATTAGTAGAAAAACATTTTCGCAACTTTCGTTTTTGGGTTTTAAAGCCTTGTTAAAAAATAAAAACGATTTTTGCAATTTTTGGGCTCGCTCAAAAAATTTTAATAATCTGATATTCTTTCACAAAATTGCTGATTACTTGGTTACTATTATAACAAATATGATGTAAAATTATATATTCTGAATCAGAATTAAATAATCTTCAAGATAAAATAAGATTCAATTCTATATCTTAAATACTCTTGAAAATATTGAGGCTCAAAGTTAAAACTTTGTCTTAAATTTTGCAAAAGCTTCCAGGCGGATTATCTTGAAAACGAAACCCTTGGGCTCGGAGTCTTAAATAACCTTTTTTGTAGCCCTTATTAAGAACTACAATTAGGAAAAAGATTCATGCCAATAGCTTCATTGGTTTCCAAAATATGGCCCTTTGAATTATTTGAAAATCAAATTTCCATGCATACCCCTTTGGAAAAATTCGAATTTTTAAATTTTATGGATTTTGCAATTTTTGACTTCACAAATCGAAAGAAGAGGTTGAAACTAGTAGAAAAACATTTTCGCAACTTTTCTTTTTGGGTTTTAAAGCCTTGTTAAAAAATAAAAACGATTTTTGCAATTTTTGGGCTCAAAAAATTTTAATAATCTGATATTCTTTCACAAAATTGCTGATTACTCGGTTATTATTATAACAAATATGATGTAAAATTATATATTCTGAATCAGAATTAAATATTCTTCAAGATAAAATAAGATTCAATTCTATATCTTAAATACTTTTGAAAATATTGAGGCTCAAAGTTAAAACTTTGTCTCAAATTCTGCAAAAGCTTCCAGGCGGATTATGTTGACAACGAAACCCTTGCGCTCGGAGTCCTAAATAACCTTTTTTGTAGCCCTTATTAAGAACTACAATTATGCAAAAGATTCATGCCAATAGCTTCATTGGTTTCCAAAATATGGCCATTTGAATTATTTGAAAATCAAATTTCCATGCATACACCTTTGGAAAAATTCGAATTTTTAAATTTTATGGATTTTGCAATTTTTGACTTCACAAATCAAAAGAAGAGGTTAAAATTAGTTGAAAAACATTTTCGCAACTGTCCTTTTTGGGTTTTAAAGCCTTGTTAAAAAATAAAAACGATTTTTGGAATTTTTGGGCTCAAAAAATCTGATATTCTTTCACAAAATTGCTGATTACTTGGTTACTATTATAACAAATATGATGTAAAATTATATATTCTGAATCAGAATTAAATAATCTTCAAGATAAAATAAGATTCAATTCTATATATTAAATACTTTTGAAGATATTGAGGCTCAAAGTTAAAACTTTGTCTCAAATTTTGCAAAAGCTTCCAGGCGGATTATCTTGAAAACGAAGCCCTTGGGTTCGAAGTCTTGAATAACCTTTTTTGAAGCTCTTATTGAGAGCTTCAATTCCCAGAGTCCTAGCTGGAACCCAAAAAATTAAAATAGAGATAAAAAGTCAAAAAAGTTGACAGGAATTTTTCTTGGAATCTGATAATTTTGTTCTCAAATTCTGATAATTTTAAATTTGACATCTGACAACACTGAATTACATAGCGGGGACAATATAAAGTTGATTAGGAAAAGTAAAAATTCTTACAGCAGTAAAGGCATAACAAGCTCCGCATTTTCCTTGGTTTTTCACTTCGGAAATGGCTGCCAACGCTCGCCAGTCGACGGTTTCAGGTAACGGAAAAAGGCCTGGATTTTCAAAGTAAGGAACAGAGTCGCTGGGGGCTTCTTCTGAGTCATAAAGTTCTGGAGACCTGGAAAAATTGTCGAAATTTGAAGTTACTTTCTTGTGTTGTTCATTGGTGTTAGGGACACACCTTTATCGATATTCTGTCTAACGATTGCCGATTTGATAAACTCAGAAGTTCAATATAAGATCAGATGAAATATCAATGGAACTGAAATGAACAGTTTACGATCAATGTAGGTATATTACCAGTTTCTACATGTGACCTAGAAACATAAGGGTTCACACGCCTCCAAGTAACTCAACCTACAGTGGAAAGGATCAGAAGTTCAATCAAAAGCCAAATGGAGAGATCAGGAGAAGAATAAGTACTACGTAGCAGATATGTTTGAAGATGGACTGAATATGTGGCAGGAAAAATCTAAATTGAGAAACAAACTCATAGCATTTTGGCTAAGAGATACAGAAAAGATGGAGGGTCCGAATCCAGAGAATAGCAGGAAAAAACTGGACATACGCAATCCTTAACAGAAAACTGTAGAAAGATTTGGAAGAAGTATACATCCAAGAGTGGATGAATTCGATCTGAAAAGTGAATGAAGGTATGAAGCAACTCGATGTGGAAATGATGATGAGATCGAGGGCCAAATAAAAAAGTCAGCAAAGGAACAAAGATAACGGATTTTGGAAATCCTGACTCTCTGGCGACGTCTGTTATGATTTTCTTATTTCCTCGAGACAATTTTTAGATTGTTTTGGAAAGTTTAATATTGTTCAGTGACTGTTTATTGTGTACAGATCTGTAATTTTCGTCGTGTCTTAATGTTTTTTATCGTCGTCGTCGTTGTCCTTTTACAATTTTAACTTATATGTCGGAACGTGACAAGTAAAACTTGCCATAATGTCGAGATGCATTATTTTTATTCAAAATCTCGAATTATGGAAACCTATTTCATCGAAATATGATATTTGAATAGTTTTACAACAAATCTTGACTCACATTAAGTAATATCTTCTAAACTCTTCATCAGTCAAGTCTCCAAACTCGTTCATGTCCATCCAATAGGTGGAAATGTTCAAACTGTATAATTTATTGTGTTCAAGGATGCTTTCCCAATTTTTCATGTAGACTGCCATCCTATAGGTTTCTTCTTCAGGAGTTTCATACAGTTTTTCATATTTAAGCTAAAATTTAAAATAAAAATGTTAAAGGGCATTTCGTAGACACTTGCGCCATCTCTCCTTCCAAAACCGTAATATTTCAAGATTGCGTTATTGGAAAAATCAGTCGTCAAATAATCGAGAATATTTTCTTACTTTGAAATTATCCCATTGATCTTGAAATATTTTCTGTTGAATCGACACCGAATAGACACTATTAAAAACACAGGTAAGACCAAGCACAAGGAAAAACATGTTTGATTAGCCCAGTTTTCATGGAGCAATAATTATTTATAAAATAATATGGTGTGTGACTCAATTATTCATAATTCAAATAAAACCACAACTTCCTTTTGATAAATGTATTTGTTGAGTAATAAATATTCAATTTAGGTGCGGCTTTACAAATGCTAAAAGTGATCTAATAAATATGCATCAATATTTAAAACGGTCTTTGTTCGATTTTACCTCAAAACTCCCATCCTCAATACCTACGTAAATATCTTTATTTAGCTGCCGCACCAGTGCATTTAAAAATATCTGGAAAAATGCATATGAATTATTCATGCACGTATTATTGTTTCCCATTTACGCCATTTTTGCATACCTGAAGAGTTTTGCATTTAGAATCGTATCAAAATTTGAAATAAAACTGGACAAAATTTGTTTTAATTTATTTTATTTTATGCTGCTTCAACTGATACAGTATCATCATCAACATGAGAAGATCCTTCTGATGACTGTGGAGGGTTTTGTGGCTGTTGAGCACCTTCATCAGCAGGCTCAATCACAGGAGATGAATCTAAAAATATATCAAATTTATTTTTTGTAATAATATAATCCATTTCTACCTTGCACTGGTTGTTCTTGTGGAATTTGCTGAGGATATTGAGGATTTTGCGCTACCACTCCAACAGTAGGATATTGTGGTTGTTCTGGAATTTGCTGAGGATTTTGCACCACTACTCCAACACTAGGATATTGAGCATAAATCGGTTGTTGAGGCACGAAATGATGTCCATAAAATTGTGTGGTATAATGAGCAGGAGCTAGGGAGTATACAGTAGGAGTATAATGAGTATAAACGGGTGCGCTGTAAGACAAAGCCACAGGTGCGCTGTAAGCAAATGCTGGATGAGCGATCGAGGTTGATTGTCTTAGGAGGGTCGTTGAAGCTGGAACGATACCTGCTTGGCAGTAAGCAACGAGAACTGAGAAAATTAACATGAACTAAAAAAACAAATTATAAGTATATAAAATCTAAATTTTAAATAAGGTTTTTACCTTCATTTTTAGCACTTAAGTATAAGTATCACAAAACAATAACTACCTATGTCCTCTAACCAAAGTTAACTTTTATACGTTTTCGGTAGGTTGGCATTTAATCCCTCCCATCATGGTCATCCCAAAAAAAAAACCTACTACTAAGTTTAGCGTATTTTTGCCTCTTAGTGGGCTTTACATTTACATCCTATAAGTCAAAAGTCGCTCGAACGCACGCTACACAAGCAAATTTACGACGATGACCCCGCCCATAACGAGATTAACTTTTTCGATAAGTGACCAACTTCTTGATAATTTACTATAGTTTGTTTCCTGCTCCAGTTCTTTTTTTTTTTGGCCTACACACGAGTTTTGTAATGGATCTTGAAGAATCTCTACAGGGTGAACAAAAATGGAATTTGATAAGTTTGTGGAGATCTAATACCTACTTTATACAAATAATAGTTTTTCTCTTCATTTCTCTTCATTGTCAACAGACTTAAAGTGCTTCCTAAACACGAATATTAGATATAACTTCTTTCAAAAATACCGTGTAAGGTTTATCTTCAAGTCAAGATTAGGCTTGCTATATCAATGTCAGGCTTTAGGTTTGTCTTCCTTTAATTCTACATCATGTTTGATATCAACGACAAGCTCAGAAGATTTAGAGAGAAGGAATTTCTAAGTCTCTCCACCTCATTTAATGATTCCGGCGGCTTATTTATTTAAATTTAACTAAAAATCAGGATAAATATCAATGTCAGACTCAGAAGATTTCAAGAGATGAGATTTCAAAGTCTTCGTAACTTCTTCCAATGATTGCACGTGATATTTGTATTCTTTCGATTCAGGATCATGTCTGATATCAAGGACAAGCTCAGGAGAGTAAGATAGAAGAGATTTTGAAGTATTCGTCACTTCTTTCATTGATTTTGCATGAGATTTATCTTCCTGCAATTCAAAATCAGTAGGTTTGCTATCAATATCAGGCTCGCGAAAATTAGAGAGACGATATTTTGAAGTCTCTGTCACTTCCAGTCTTTAACTCTAGGTCAGGTTTGATATATATCAACGACATCAAGCTCAGAAGATTTATTGAGAAGGGATTTCCATTTCTCTCCACCTCTTATAATGATTCTATCTAGATCAGGATAAATATCAATGTCAGGTTCAGAAGATTTCAGCATATGAGATTTCGAAGTCTTCGTCACTTCTTTCAATGGTTACACATTAGGTTTATCTTCTTTTGATTCAGGATCATGTCTGATATCAACGATAAGCTTAGGAGAGGAGATTTTGAAGTTTCTGTCAATTCTTTCATTGATTCTGCATCAGATTTATCTTACTGCAATTCAAGAATAGGTTTGATATCAATGACAGGCTCAAAAGAATTAGAGAGACGATATTTCTCCATCACTTCTTTAACTGATTCAGCGTGAGGTTTATCCTCCTTAAATTCAAGAGCAGGTTTGCTATCGACGACAGTTTCAGGGAGATTTTTAGAGCGAAGAGATTTCCAAGTTCTCTTTTAATATTCCGCTGGACCTTTTTTTTAACTGGAGATGAGAATAAATAATATTATTGTCAGACTCAAAGGATTTCAAGGGAGGAAATTTCGAAGTATCTTTCACACAATACATTTAGAGAGAGGAATTTTTGAAGTCTCCGTTACTTCTTTCATTGATTCTGCATGAGATTCATCTTTCTACAGTTCAAAATCAGGTTTGCTATCAATGTCAGGCTCAGAAAATTAGAGAGACGCTATTTTAACGTATCTGCTACTTATAGTACTTTAATTCTAGATCAGGTTTTCAGTTTCAGAGAGATTTAGAGAAAATGGATTTCCAAGTCCCCTTTATAATATTCCGCAGGCACTTTCCTTTATCTCTTTTTCATTCTTGATCAGGTTTGGTATCAACGACAGGCTCAGGAGATTTTGAAGTCTCCATTACTTCTTTCATTGATTCTGCATGAGATTTATCTTCCTGCAATTTGAGATCAGGTTTGAAATCAATGGCAAGCTCAGAAAATTTACAGAGAAGAGAACCTGTTTTAATGATTGCGCTGATTTTTTCTCTTCTAATGAATCCTAATGAGATTTCATATCAAAGGAGATGCTCAGAAAATTTAGAGAGAAGACATGTTAATGTATCCGTTACTTCTTCCAATAATGATTGCACATGAGATTTATCTTGTTCTGATTGAAGATCACATCAAGGTTCTTGTCCTTGAAACCTGGGAGCAGCGTTTCCAGGAGGACGAGAGTTCTGTCTTTGTTATTTGTATTATCATTTGCATATCATTGAGAAAGACAGAATATTTGTTCTCCTGGGAACGTTGCTCCCTTGTTTCAAGAATAAGGACCCTAATATCAACAAGAAGCTTTGGAGATTCAGAAAGAGGAGATCTTGAAGTATTCGTCACTTCTTATTTCATTGATTCCGATGATGATTATCTTCCTGTAAGTCAAGATCAGGTTTGATATCAATGTCAGGCTCACGAAAATTAGAGAGACGCTATTTTAACGTATCTGCTAAACGGATGTGGGGGAACAAACCATACAAGTCACCACAACGAGAGGATGTTCACAGGGAGGGGTACTCTCACCCTTGATGTGGAGTCTAGTAGTCGATGATCTACTAAATACACTCACAGACCAGGGCTTCAACTGCTTTGGTTACGCCGATGATATTGTCATCATAGCCAGAGGCAAACACAAAGGAATACTCTGTGACCTTATAGGAAGGAATGGTGTCAGACTGTGGGACTGAATCTTAACTCATCAGAAACCACACTGGTAACATTTACAAAAAGAACGAAACTCCCATACCTGAGGAACATTCGCCTCGATGGAAGCAGGCTTCACTGGAGACAAGAAGTTAAATTCCTAGGAATAACCCTAGACTCTAAATTCCTTTGGAACCGACACATAGAGAACATAACAAACAAAGCAATTTCGGCACTCATTGTATGTGAAAACATTGCGGGCAAAACGTGGGGTTGTAACCCATCGATCCTACGATGGATGTATACCATGATAGTGAGACCTATCATCACCTACGGAGTGGTAGCCTGGTATAGCCGAACCCAGCTAGTAACGGCTAGGAAAACTCTAGGAAAGGTACAAAGACTCGCATGTCTAGGCATAACAGGAGCAATGAGAACATGCCCAACCGCGGAAATGGAAGTCATCCTAGACCTAACACCACTCCACACAATAGTGAAGCGGGTTGCCAGTGAATCATGTCTAGACTGGCGAAGATAAGTCTACAAGGGACGCACTTTGGCACTTTGGCAGAGCTTTCCCTCTCTCAAACTGTGCACACCTCATGGACTTACCAAAAGACGCGATTGTTGATAAATTCAGTTTCGAGAAAAACTTTTCCATTGGACTAAGTACAAAGAACAGATGGAACATAGAATGTATCCAGTCCCTCAAAGCAAACACTATCAAATGGTTCACAGACGGCTCCAAAACTGCTGAGGGGACAGGAGCTGGAGTATTCGGGCCACGAACCAGATACTCGGAGCCAATGGGCAAATCACCAAGCATATTCCAAGCCGAACTTCATGCGATCGAAAAATGCGTGCAGTTCAACCTGAACAGAAGGTACCGAAAACGAGAAATTGTAATAATGTCTGACAGCCAAGCAGCTATCAAAGCATTGAGCTCGCCGGTAATCAATTCTAAGATAGTATGGGAATGTCTACAGAAGCTCAATGAGCTGGGGAAGGAAAACAAAGTAACCCTACTCTGGGTTCCTGGACACATAGGAGTCGAGGGCAATGAATGCGCAGACGAACTTGCAAAAACGGGAGCGGCCACTCCCTTCACTGGGTCAGAACCATGCTGCGGCGTCGGAAATGCGCACCTGCAAGAAATCCTCAAAAAGGAAGAGAACCGGCTAAGGAACAAACAATGGCTAGACCAAACTACGACAGGCCAAAGATCTACTGGGTAGCTACAACCAAAAAAGATCTGAACTGCTGGTCAACCTTAGCAAGAAAAGTCT